TTTTTTTTCTTTTTGGCCCAACTTGAATTATGGACATGCCGTAGGCTTGTCCAAGCCCTCAAGAAAAACTTCTGGGCATCGTGGTGCACACCTGTAATCCCAGCACTTGGGGGCTGAGACAGGAGGATCACAGTGAGTTCGAGGCCAGCCTGAACTACATCACGAGCCTCTGTTTCAGAAATACCAAAGGAAAAGAAGTTTAAAACAATACTGTTCATTCATTCATTCATTCTTCCTTCCTTGAAGCATATCTTGGTCTAGACCAGCACTTTACAGCCGAACTTTCTGAGAGGATGACCTTGTTCTGTTTTCACTGTGCGTTATGGAGAGACCACCTGCGGAAATGTGACTAGAGTAGCTGTGCAGCTGAACTTACATTAAATTATACTCTAGTGTATTTAAAGGCACAGTTAAATAGCCGCCCGTGGTGAATGACTCTTCCACTGGACGGCACAGGTCTACTCTCCCTGTCACCAAATGGAAAAGCTCCAATTTGGGGTGCCTCTTAGATCTACCCTGTTTCTGCACTACGATCTCAATGAGGACAGCTCCCAGCTGCCTGGAAGGAAGAATAGGACTGAACAAGTGGTGGCAGGGAACCAACAAGGCAAAACACAGCCTGGTCACCTTCGTGTAAGTCCTAGCCCATCTGTGGCTCCACTGTTTATCACAGGCTACAGTATCTGTGAGTAAGTCCCCCCGAAATACAGACTATTTATTGAGAATGCCTCCAGTATGTTGATGAAAGCATGAATTGATTTTCCATGTAATAATCAATATTTGGTACCACACTATGTAACATGTTATTTGAAATATACTTACTAGCTCCGAATAAAAGCTTCCCGCCTTTCCACAAGTGGGTAGAAGATATTATTTACAAATGGCCATGTCAGAGACAGTCCCAGTATTGTCCTCTTCTTTCTGCAAAACCACTCTTCATTCTGCGAAACTTACAAAACAGAACAATCAGGAGGAAGGCCTGGAGCAATTATCCCATTAACACCCCTCTTTATAAATGAGAAAATCAAGGCCCAAAGCAGATAAACTTTCTCGTCACTCATTATTTATGACTGAACCCTAAAAACAACCCAGGTGTCTGGACTTCTGGCCTAGAGTCTAGACTGTGCTCCAACTGGAACTTTGCTCTTCTCCAAGTTTCTTCACAGTGATGCTGGTCAGAGGTAGGAGGGCAACTTGGAATTAAACAGGAAAAGATGGTGGGGTAATTGCCAAAAAGAATGATATGGAGGATAAATTCTCTCTAGTTGCTCCAGGAAAGAGCAATATGGACCAGGTTTTAAAGGAAAAGCAAAATAAAGTCAGATAGGTTAGCTAG